CAAAACATGTTAGCCAGAGAATGGTCACGGGATTGAGGTTCTGGACCCAACTATGTTGAATACGAGCGATGCGCCGGGCGTATGCGATCGCGAGCGAAATACGCTGCCGTGAGACCGAACACACCGCGCGGAAACGGCACCGTATTTATCGATCGCAAGCGGCCAGCGTAGAAAATCGCGCAGTGTGTCCTAGGCTTTAGCTTAAATGTCCCAAATTTTGTTGCATATATTATTTCGAACTTACAAACCTTAAACGCAAAGAAGTGTGCTACATATGCTTCGCCGAAAACAAACTGTGCGCCGTAGTCAGAATATTTGAAAAATGCCTCTGCCTGTCGTCCCAGGAAATGGAACGCCTGGAAGCCGAAGGGCACACGTAGGATGAAGATTCCCAGACAGAATTGAAGTCCGATGCCTGTAAGCACTGGACGCCAGAACACCTGAAAGAAAGCATGAATGATGTCTATGTCAGGTGCAATTTGTACCGCATTTATGCCCACTACCATTCGGGTACACAGCAACAGTTCTGTACCTCAAATTCTGTAATCTATTCCGCACACAACCGACATACTAGACATTACAATACCAGCACTATTGCAGATAAGGTCTATGTCTCCTTGACCTCTGTTTGACCTGGCTCGTTTAGCTATTTCTGACTAATATATATATATATATATAATATATAATATCTATAGAGTTAGGGTTAGTCAGAAATAGCTAAACGAGCCAGGTCAAACAGAGGTCAGGGAGACATAGACGCCACGGGCAGCACTATTGCACAAAGCTTGCGAAAGTTGACAGGTAGGCAGATAGGTTATGTAAGAAGGTAGATAGGTATGTAGGTGAGTAGGTAAGAAAGCAGGTAGATAGATAGACAGACAGATATACAAACAAATACAGATAGATGGGTTTTGCTATGCTAGTAACTACATACCTTGCCAGGATGCTTGGATGTGATAAACAACAAGAAGACGTATGTAACGAATCCTCCTAGCGACACCAGATTTCTTGGCTGCTTAGCAACATCCAGAGCCAAAAACAGGATAAATGCTGAGAACAATCCCAGGAACACGACCCTACGAATTTGAGAAACAAACAATGTACATACACTGTTTTTAATGAATACAGCACAAGGGTAGAAATGAACTTTTGAACAAGGGAGTCCGTTCCCCTCAAAAAGAGAGTCCGCAGTCTGAGATTCAAAATTAAAGATATTAACAATAACTAGGAGTGAGTATTGCGACCAAAAACCTCATTGCAATATATTGCAAAGTACGGTTTGTCGTTTTTTGAGGTTTTCGGCAATACGATGGGAAGTGTATACGCATGCATGATATAGTTAAGCAATTGATTGGTTTTAATATCATCATATATTGTATTATATGACATGATTTAATTTCTCATGTTTTCTTGACGAAACAGAAGCACGGCAATGTTTTCGCTGACAGTGCAGGCCGCTCTCGGCCCTAACAATGTCACCCGCCTGTACTGAATACCCTCGTCCGGAAGCGCACTGACGTAGCTGGAAATAACACATACCCTGGCTACATTAATTGGTTAACTACTGGATACTGAAACTGAAACGAAACTGAAACCTGAAACAGTGGGTGCTCGCTTCAGGCTTGTATCCGCGCGCAGTCAGGGAGCGCGGCACTCAGGTGAGCATAGGCTATACTATAGACTCCTGGTGCCCGTGCTCTCGCTGCGCTCACGACGTCTGCCCCACTCTGCGCCCGCGCAGTAGTACCCGCGCAGTGGCTGCCATGCAGTGACGCTTACTGCAGTATACTGTATGCGTCGTGCAAAGGCATTGGCTTTCGTAATATATACACCGCCAGTGCATAATTTCGAGGCCCATTAATCAATATAGACAAAAGGCAAGTGTCATAGGGAGTAATTTATTTCCTGTATATCCATCCGTTTAAATCCGTAAAATATCGATATCCGGAAGTTGTATCGCGCTATATCGAGTTTTTCAAAAATATATTGCAATAATAACGCGATATAACGTATAATCGTTACACCCCTAACAATAACGCAATCTGGCTTATTTTAAAGATTCATTGCAGTTTGCACGTGCTGCGCGAATTTCTTTGGACATTATGCTTGAAATGAAAGTGTCAATAACAATGTAGCTCACCACAAAAAGGACACAAATGAGTTGAAGTGAGAAGAAACCAGTTTTAATTGAGCAACCGATCGACCATCATTATAGAAAACGAATCTTGAGTATATTGGGAAGAAGCTCCCATTAAGGGCACTCTAAGAAAATCTATATGTGTAATGTTTTATGTTGAAAATAATAAATATTATATATATATTATAAATAGATTTTTAAACCAAATGAATCACCATTTGTGGCAGGTAGATGCGCTAACAGCCCGCTTTGATTTTCTTAGCCATAAATCAGTTATATCATGACATAATAATGAATAGTTAAATCAATGTTCATAGCAGGAATTTGCCATTAAAGATATTGTCAATGAAATCTTGTAAAACGAACAATTCGACCAGACGAAGGTATGAAAACACCACAGAAGCTGTTTTGTTATCTGCTGTCTAATATAATATGCTATATAATTGCCAAACCGCTACCTAAATTCTGTTGGCATAACTTTTTTTTTAAATATCAAAACCCCTAGAAGAACATTCCAACAACCAAAAATGAGCGAAATGCCGATGAACCTGAACTGACACATGGCAATTCCCATTTTTGCCAAAAATTGGCCGGGCTCGAAGTACGTGCGATGCTCCAAAATGAGGACGTTAATACTGTGAGGCATAGGCATAACAGCACACTATACCCCGCAATTTCAAGACATGTGGGTCAAAAACCGTTCCTGAGTTATCGTATGGACCGTCAGCCAAATGTTGACGGAAGCAGACGGGACGGACGGACGGACGTACGACGACCCATGGCAATAGCTCAGCTTGACGATGTCAAGGTGAGCTAAAAATACAGTAATTCCGCAAGGCCATGCTCTGGAACGAACTAGTAACTAAGTTAGAATGGCAGAATTTTCAAGGAGTCACACGGACTCCTGCATATGTCCAATCAGGGAGTCCGACAGTAAAATCAGGGAGTATTTGACTCCGGACTCCCGTTAATTTCGCACCCTGCAGCATACGTGAATGCAGCTCTCAAAAAGGCATATAACTGTACTAGTTATTAAAAAGCCTGTGCAAATATTAATAGGAGAGAAACCCACACTCAATTTACCATATGAAAAATATGGCGAGTCGACTGTGAAGATATGGTATAATAAATACTGTTCCTCATTGGTTGTCCTGACAGTGTTTAAATCTAACCCGGTGAACAGACAATTAAATGACAGGACACATTCACGATAGAATACACACCATTTAATCCAGCGCCATCTCTTAGCCATACCGGTGTAGCACGTGGAAATGCTCGTTTCAAGCGTGTCTCCCAACTTGCGCCATATCAATCTGAAACGTAATCAATGCAATCATAATTACATTATCACGGGAAGACACGAGTATTTTATTATTATGATCATTTTAAGACTACATTTTCAACCAAACGTAGGTGAATGAATATAATCGTTAATTATTTATATTAATTGTGACTATATAATGTAAAACTAATTAACCATCATTATTCATCATGGCCTTCAATATTTCATACAAACTACTAATGATCAGATGATGTTGATCAGTCTAATAAAAACCATCTATTTAGTAGCATCTCTACTTATTGGTTCGACTATGAAGTGTTTTAATCTTTCACCTACCTCGTTGCCATCAACACAGCAAGAGCCACTGTGCCTACCAGTAAAGCTGTGGCTCTCCCAGCATCCATCACTACTGCTGTTATGAAGTAAGCCAGGTACACCAGCGCCAGCAATGCGTAGAGAACTACAGTAATCGCACTCTGAAACAATGCCCGCGCAATATAAATATCATTCATAGCCTGCAAGCTTGACACATTTGGGGTTTCATCACGAGAAAAAAATACTAAATGTAAAAATCACTTCATGTGCTAATGGTTGTGCCAGGAAGGTAGCTAATAAGTTGTTCCACTATTCTTTTTAACTTTTCCTACAACAAAGCTGACTTTTATTAGATCATGACAGCTGGCTATATCCCATATCCTCTCAGTGGGTTTGACTATCGATATTGTCATGGTGACAGAAATTCACAATGAAGAACAATGTGTTTTCACTCTAATACCGATCACGCTTGGTGAAAAATCGCCGTTTTAAAACTACGTGACCTTTTTAACACCGGTTGGTGTACCTCATCAGCACTCTCTATCAAATGAGTCCCAGCTTCCCAACGACCTTAGAAAACGATGCACAATACCACACAAAATAACGCTAAACGTACTTTGTGATCGGTGAAAAAGCCGTGAACTTGGTCTCGGTAGCGGTCAATCTTGGATGGTTGCTTCGGTGTGTTTAAGCTGCTGTCTTTGCTGTTGCTGTCGTGTTCGTCCTTGTTTGTGCAAGATTCGCGTTGTGTGCCAGAGTCGACAAACGTTACGGACGGACTGCGTCTGTCGCATGGCGGACTCTCGCCTGTTACTTCTACGTGGGATAAGTTGCATCGATAGTAATGAGATGAGACATATAGCACAATATTTTGAGTTGTTTTACCAAATGCTCACTGGCTTTACTTGACAAATCGTGACATCAGGCCATAATAACAATATTGTCTGTTTGCCTTCACCTGACCTACCCGCCAAAAAGGGGCAGACCCCCCTCCCTTTTATTGATCTTTCCCATTTTTTTTAAAAATTGTATCACTGTACATTACATATATCTGTAGACAATACATTATATGTACCAAGCAAAACAAACATTCAACATAAAAGGTATCTCCACACAAGCACGCCCGAGCATGTAGACACCATGCTGAATTTGTAAAAAGACCCCCCTCAAAAAAAGCCTACCTACCTACTCACTTTTCAGCCTGGGTCGAATGAGGGCAAACAAAGATTTTTTTAATTGTGGCCTCAGTAAAATTACAAATGTATACCAGCACCAACTAAAAATGAGGTGGGTCGAACACTCATGCTACCCTGCTCCCGCTGTCCCCTTATCGTGTTAATAAGGTCTTAAAGTCAATTTAAACAATTACATTCACTACAAAACGTTGCTTACCAATATCCTCTGGCAGGGGAATATAGACATGGTTGTGGTCACTACGCTAGAAAAACAAACAAAAATATGCAATTACGACTAGGTTTTACAAGAAACCAATTTACAATTTTCCAAACACAAATATAGATAACCTTAGTGTGAAATACTACACTATAGATGTATATTTTTAGTGTTGGAGATCGGTCCAAATTTCATGATCGATCATCGGTTTTACAAAACGACCGACGATCAATTAATCATCGATCATTTTAGATTGCGGTGATGCCGCGTTATCGTCGACACAACCGGTGTATTGCGTAGGAATATTGACATTATTGTATGTGTAGCTAGTATTTAATGGTAAGTAAATTAAGGATACTGTTACAGTCTGTTAGGGTTACGGACGGGTAACACTCTAAAGGCCATTGCAACATAACTGCTCATCAAATTCAATCAAACTCATATCCATTACATAAGAGAGATGTCTCTCTATGCTATCAATGAATTTTTTTTTACTACAAATTCATCGCTAATTAAGTGACGGCAAAAATGGCTAATTTATACAAAAATGCTTTTTTTGTTTTTTCACAGAAACAGCAGAGTTGGGACCTAAACTTTTAACCATAAGTTGTTCATAATATGACCAAAAAAATGGTCCCTGGAATTTTTTTTAAATGCTTTAGTTTAGGAAATAAGTTGAAAAGATGTAGGGAAATTTAGGATTAGGCTTGATTTTCAGGAAACAAAGTCGCTTAGTTCCTTGAAAATTTACACCGCACCGTGTTTACTAGTATATGTGTAAATGTATGTACTTGTGTCAAATCTGGAAAGAAAAAAAAAGTTCGAGTTGTACTATGTCGTCCGATTTTCTACTTGATTAATCAAGTTGGCAGCACAAATGAGTAATGATCGACGAACTCGATTAATCGGAACACCACTATATATAAATTTTCATTATACAAAGTTCATCATTTACATCCAAAGTAGATATTTAATTTTACAACAGATCAATTAAACTTTTATTGGATCATGGAATCATCGATGAGATTTAACGATGTCCTGTTGCACAGTGGAGGTTTAAAGTAAGGGAGCAGCGTTTCCTGCCCCCCCCCCCCGGTACAGGATATTGCTGCGTCCTTTTTCATCATGGTTGCCAGATATCAGACTTCTAAATTCCCTGACCTTTTCCTGACTCAATTTCAATTCCCCTGGATCAAAATAGTAATACGTGATGAAACCACTCAACAAAAATTTACAATGGCTTCCTATTACCTCTTACAACCATCATTCCCACCCAATTACTAACCAGTAATTAATTGAAAAATCGATATTTTTCTCAACTCAAACAAAAAGAAGCTTACTCGGATAAGCAGACTAAATGTAAATAATGAGACAGAAGTTGTTGAAAAAAAGGATGAATCTTGAGTAGAATCTACAGATAGGTCAGTTTCACTGCATCTTCACCTTCTCCTAACCATGCAAGCTCTGGTCGCAGATTTATTTTCTACTACAACTTTCTACTGCTTTCCACATAGCACCTCCTGCTTCTACGCAAACTAGCTCCCTTTGAAACCTGTATACCTGCCTCTTCTTCAACAGTTTCATCATCTACTCCATCTTTAGCTTCTTTTGAATCACTTCTGCCCACTTCTCAGCATCTTCTGCAGCTTTACTCTTCTGTTCAACCATGCCTCAATTAAATTTCAATATTACCTAAAGTTCGGGCCAATTATTACCTTTCCCTAATTGCGATCAAAATTCCAACTTCCCCTCATGCTTAAAAAACAGGCCTGACCTGTGGCAGACCCTTTAATATAGACATTTTGAAGAAAATATAAGTGTATGCGTCTATGTTTTTGGTTCACCCCGACTGTTTTGCATAGTACACTTATGCTTAACACATAACTTTCATTCATCTGAGCCTCACTGAGAAAGCACATAGGAGTGGATTTATGATTTTGTGGATATCTTCACGTGAAACGGTAGGAGAACACTACTGAACAACATATATATGGTGTTTTTCATCGCTGAAAAATGCTAAAAAATAAGCCAAGAGTTTCCCTCAGCTGAAGGCCACTTATCCAACGTTCTGTGAAAACAATATCCTTCCTGCAATGATCGCATCTTGTGTATTTTAACACCAATATACTTCTACGTACCAACGAGGTGCCACTGGGGTTCCGTGGTCCCCTAGACGTTTTCCGCGACAGACTCTGTTTGCGGGGGCTCGCAACTTCACCGTCTGAAACAAATACGCTCGGCTCCTTGCCAAGTTCATCCAATTCCATGCCTATGGCAGAGTCATCCGCATAGGACACAGTGGCATCCTCTTCCTCCGTGGCACTCTCTAGGATACTGTTCCTGTGCTTAATCTTCCACACTGGCTGAGGGTTCTCATACTTGTCTACCTCGTACGAATCCATGATTGCCTCTGCAAAATGTAGCAAATCGGCTGATGAGTTTTCGGTCTACTAGAGCTATAGAATTCGTAGTTATACATATATATATACGAAACGTCGAACTATATCAGCCAAGTTAAATGTTGTTACATTCAGCCACTCTCCCAATTGCAGTCAATTGCTTTGACAATACAGTAACCTATGAGGCTGAACGACTGAACACCCGTATCACTTGTCCCAATGACGTACCACACACATCGAATTATTAGTGCTATACACGTTAGCTGTGAGATAACGTGTCGAGTATGAAGGCATGGCACTGTCACCTTGGTTGGGATAGCAGTCACTATACGTGATGAGATGTTACATTCATTGTTGGTTCCATGAAAGTGTATTTTAAACATTCCATTATCACTAGTATTATAGTGACTACTCAGCATAATATCTACATCTAGACTGCCGACAGAAATAAGCCAGCAGTGTCGAACGTGTCACTATGCAGTCAATGTCAGGGATAGAATCAAATGCCAATATATAGCCAAAATTTAGACCATTATTTCCTGTTGGCACTCCTTTTCGGAAGTGACATGCTGATGGACATATTCTAGGAACTAGCGGGATACCCGGCGTTGCCAGGGGAAATCAGTGGCGTTACTTAGTTGGTGACCGCTTGGTTGAAAGAAAAATACCCACACAAATCTAACTATCTATCTATCCATGCATCAATCCATCCCATGCCATGCCATGCCATGCCAGCCCATCCCAAACAGTAAAAAATAATAAGAAATCAAAAGATAAAAGACATTAAATATAAAAATTTAAAATAAAAAAATAAAAAATAATACATACTAAAGAGGAACAAGTGCCGCGGAGCAACAGCGCTCATCTAACGTCTACTGCGGTGACTCTGTGGTGGAGTGGTGGGATTCTAGTAAACCCTGTTAGTCCCAAATGTGTTCACATACACATGTATACTGATGGTATCAGGAACCTTCTCAAAGGAATGTTCGTTGGAATCGTTATTAAAGTT